TTGTCGGCTATGGCTTACAAATTCTTCGAGGTCAGGATCAGTCGTGAAGAAGTCTTGCAGGCGCATGTTCCAATCCTTCCTGCGCCTGAGGACACCATGGCAGCGCTGTGGGAGGCACATATAGCAGCTCCAGGGTTCCTTCAGCTTGGCATCCTCGGCTGTCCCTGTCCCCACCAGCACCTCCAGACACTCCACACAGAAGCACCTGTACCAGAGTATCCAGAGAGAGTGGGCACCAAGGTTACCAGACATTTGTCATGCAGGCCCAGTTAGATCTCCTGCCTGATGTGCAGCCTCCGGTTTCCACGTATTTTGAGATATAGGTTAACAAACCCCCTTCTTGAACATGGATCCTTAACACTCCCTTCAGGTCTAGAGCCTTTTAACAGAAACCTCACGGGGCTGACCTCACGGGCACACTGACCTGAGTCCAGCACTATGCATCAATGCAGTTCATGCCCGTGAGCACCAGATTCCACAGACTATCTATCGATGCGGTGCTTTTTCTATTTGGTTTTCGCTGCCTACAGACTGCAGGAACTGTGAGGTTCCCCCGGGGATCTGAGGCCCTCTTGTCCGGCCCCCCACTCACCTGCAGCAGCTGGTGTTGCTGCAGAGAAGCAGCTCCCGGCCCTCGCAGCACACGGTGCAGTAGGACTGATAGCCGTCCTCATCATACATGTAGAAGAGCTCCAGGAAGCGATCCTGACCACCAGAGAGAAGCACGTGAGACCACAGGCCTGACCTCAGCCAGGCCTGGCTAGCAAGCTGGCTGGGGCCCTAGCCGGTGGCCTGGCATGCTCTTCAGCGACAGTGCATGTGATTGGAGGGCCTTCTCTGCTGCAGCACCTGTCCCCCAAACAGGAAGTGGGGGTGAATGTGCCCTGGGAAGCTATTCACTAGTGCCTGGAGCAGGAACTGGGCTAGGGGCCTGGACGGTGGAAGGATGTGACAGGAGGAAGGGGCAGGAAGACTCACCCGGCAACTCTGACAGAGCCCACCCTCAAAGAGGGGATGGAAGGACACAGGGTTCTTCCTACCGCAGGACAAACAGCGGTCTAAGAGAAAGACAGGAGTCAGAGTCATGGAAATCAAGGGCCTAACATCTGCTGATGAAGTCTTACGCGGGACAGCTCTGAGTATCTGCCCCTGGCCAGCCATGTGTGAGGACTCTGTACCACATCCAGTGTTTAAGTCATTTCAGGCGCATTTCAGATGAGATATGGTGTGTTCGAGGTAGTTGGCCATAGACCCAACAATGTTTAAAGTGCCATCCCCACGTCATAGTCCAGGAAAGACAAGTTCAAACTAACAAGAGGAAGCACAAGGGAGGCCAAGGCCTGGCCAGGCAGAAAGACAAGAGACTGAATGTTGTTTTGGGTTTAGCATCTCCATCATTGATAAACATTAAATCTCAGACATTGAGGCCCTGTAGTGATTCTGACTGGCTTGGTGGCAGATACAGAACCTGCCTGCAACCATGCCCTCTAAACACAGC